ACTATCAAGGAAGGACCGCGTCTTTTAAGCTGTGTGGGCGGAGTTACCATATGAATTAGCATGTTAAATCGAAATTTACATTCGTTTATGTTAGCATGGTGGGTGGCAGGGTGGAAGCAGTGGTTAGCGCACTGCACTACGAACCCGGCGACCTTGGTTCAAATCCTCGCGATGGCTCGTAACGGTGGCGAGTGACATTTGAACCGCTCATCGACCCCCTAAAACCAAACCCGCACTCACATGTGTGGTGAAGATATTTTTAGAAACATGACCGACGTAGTTGCGGGGATGCCTCCAGCAGTGGCTTGACAAAGTGACCGAATATTAGGATAGTTTGAATACGGAGCGGTGGCACAGTGGTTAGCGCACATTATCAGAATATGTATTTATACTGGAGGAATCCGGTGAACTATAAAGCTAGTTTTCACTGATGTCCAGTCGGGGCGGATCAGAACATTCAGAATTAATCTGGACTGGGGTTCGATTCTCGGCTATGGCTTTAACATCAACGGCAGAGAGGTATTTAAACCGGTCCTGGGCCTCCCCTAGGGCGACTCAGCCTTAAACGTGGACCTGTTGAGGAGTGCAAACATCAGCCCTGGGGAGACAAAGGTGGCTGGCCGTGGTGCTGACAACACAGCCCCCTAGTGTGCGGCGCTGCCTGTCATGGTCGATGGCTAACAGCACTGGCCCAACAGTTTAAGCAGGCTACATGGGAAATCTTCCACGTGGTGGGTGGTTGAATACCGGAGATTCTGGACCAGTTTGCTCTTCACTCAGCCTCCAAAATAAAACATGCTGCATTGTCATTTTGCATAGTTGCTGCACTAATCCGCCATCCTAAACATAGGCACAAGGAAAGTGATGAGTGATGACTAATGGCGCTTAAATTTAACCAAAACCGGAACATGGTGACCTACTCTTTGTGCCGAATGCACCTGGGCATCGTGTACACGTTGTTGTGTTTGGAGAAAGTGTGTGTATCACAGCTGCTGTGATGTCTCTTAAGAATTTAGGGCTGGCAAGCTCATTTGTTGTTGGAAATTAGGTCTTCAATCCGTAGTCCTATAACTTGAGAGCTCTTTCGACACAAGGACGTGCAATGTTTTCAGCCAGCGCTGGTCAGATCAGCTGCCTCGCCCCATAAAAGGGTCATCAAGTCACATTGCATAATGCACAGAATTAAATAAATCCTGCCCCAACATTTCAAAGTTGAAAAAAAACACCCATAAATACCAGGCTATTTATGAACACGCATAAAAATTACAGCATTTTGAATCTACAAAGAAGTCGCTTAATCTGTATTCATCACGCACAGCAGAGTGTAGGTCAAGTATACAAGTCCATTGGGTGTCTAAAATACAATTTTAAAACTAGTGAAATGTTATCAAACCATCCCATAAAAGTGGAGGAAAGCTGCATGGGGGAATGTGATATGAGCGTGCCCCCATTGTATAAAGACATACACAGCATGACGGGTCAAACAGCATTTGGCTAAATATAAGACACAGAGACCCAGTGTTAGACTTATCTTGAAGCCACACAACAGCAGAATTAATGCATCGAGGTCAGGAGTCAAATGTATTAAATATTGATATATCCTATAAATAAGTGGGATTTTGCGAGTGAAACAACTATTAATAATTCCATATATATATAAACTGGGTGACCTGAAGTGGCTGGATGGCTCAGAGGTTAGAGCACTGAGTTGTGACCACTGAGATCCTGGCTTCGAATCCAGGCAGTCGCTTGTGGTTAAACCAGCTTCTCAAGTGCAGCGAATTGATGGTCCCAGCCTGGTTACCAATGATAAAAAAACAATCACATTAAATTTGGTTCTGTACTTGATTTGGCAAATTCCAGCTCCGAGGATTGATATTGGCTTAACTATCATGCGATGATGATTACTCCCAAGTGCTTCCTCCTACTGTATAGATCTCTGAGGTAGCTCTGTGATATCTACTTTAGTGGACTGTTCTCGAACACGAAGGGATGTACTACTCTGCGGGAAATCCGAATTAATACTCCATCTCATGACATGACGCCGAAGGTACAAACGGCATCACGTTTAGGGCGAGAGGGGATTTGAATGACAAAATGAAACAAACATAACGTTTTCAACAGATTTTATGCTGAATTCACAACCAACGGCAACATAAACACCGACGTCTGGCAAAAACATCACCAAGATGCAGCGTGTACAACATTCTCTGGCACGCGTCGTGACGGCTACTGCAAGGTCCGACCGTGTCCGTCCAGTGCTCGCCGAGCTGCATTGGCTTCTGGTTGCCGAACGAATACATTTGATAAGGATCGCACTCATTACACACAAAGTGTTTGCCACAAATGAACAACAAAACCTTTGTGATCTCGTCAAGGAGCACAGACCATCACGGCTTTTGGACGGACATCGAACAAAGACGGTGGTCACCACATTCGCGCGCTTTCAGATGCACTTCTACGGCCGTCTGGAACGCTCTTCCTTTCTATATCAGGAAGCCACTGGAACCATGCACTTTTAAAAATCTAGATCGAATAAAGTCATTTCTTTAGAACTACATTTTTATGTTTGGTTTGCCGTCCTTCCCCCGCACCCTCTGATTAGCACGGTTAGCGACGTACCGTGTGAAAAAAGTTCAGCATACATACACTTCGGGATACAGACACACATCCACCATCAGGAGACTCCCTCGCACCCCCGTCCTCGCCATGAGAGATGGGCGACATTGCGAGTCGGTCTTTCTGAAGGTGATGGCGAGAAAAGCTCTGCGGGGGGACCCGAACGACACATTTTAAACAAGGGGCCTCTGGTCATGCACGAAAGATGCAGCTAAGGGGTTCTGGGGTCGGGTTATGAGGGCTCGTGCTGAGTGGTTCCTCTGGAGATCGGGAGATTTGCGCGATCGATGTTCGGTCGCCGGGTCCATGATGGCATCGGTCGTGATGTCGCACTCAACAGAGAAGGCTGATATCTTCCACTGCAAGGCTAATAATCATTGGCGGCGAGTACTCGCGGCTGTCTTTCGCCGACAAACTGCTTGCCGCTCCTTTCTATCAAAATGTACGACCCTTTCAGCTTTTGTTGCCACCCAATCGATGCGTCCCAATATTGTTTGTGTTTGTGAACAAAACCCAACAAAAAAAGTACATTTGTGAATCAATGTGCAGATGTGTAATCACATTCCCCCACCTCCCCCGCCCACCCCCGCCTTATGAGAGTTTGAGACGAGCAGCCGCACCACAACATTCGTCGGCGTGGCCTCTGGGCGTACGCCGCGGTCGCCTCGCTGTCGAGGCGCACGCCTGCAATAGCAACGGCTTGGAGGCAGGGTTGTTGACTCGTGCAGAGATCGTGCGGATGAGAGCTCCCACGTGCAAGGGGCAGCCGACGTGCCTGCAAGAGACAAGCAAGGTGGATGACCTATAATAATGAGTAATTGGAATTTGCGTAGCATCCAAATACATCAAGCTTCGAAACACTCAGCACAGGGAAAGTAAATATATAACAAAATGATCTTCCACGAAGTTCGTGGTCCACCCTAAACCGCATCCGCACAAGCCATGGCAGATGCGGATACCTGATGCACACATGGACGTATTAGCGACACACCGGTGCAGCATAACACACCGTTCCTAATAAAACAGTCTGAAAACAAAACTCAAATCAGCAAATCTGTATATCAGTCTTTAATTGACCCTGTCGCCAAGTTGGACTCAATTCGAAGGTTTATTCGGTCTACTGAAACTTGCTAAAGAAGGGTCAATATTGACCGCTGATTTATGTCGGGGACACGCGATTTTTTTGGGCCGACCAGGAGAGCGAGCGCCTGGAGCAGGAGCAGCAGATTTCTTGCGTTGCTGTACGAGCCAGAGGTGGGACTGGAGCATCATCATCATCGTCGTCGTCTTGAACCGCCGATGGATAGTACGGCAAGTAGAGCTTTAGGATCGTTAGGGTTGGTTTAGGTTTATTGCCATGGCAACAATAAATGAGGTCAACATATATACATCTCTCGTGAACAACCAAATGCTATTTAAGGACAAGGTTTTCCAATAGATGCAGAATTCTTCATGAAAGCTCAGTGCTCGTATTACTCGAACCATAACCCCGCACCCGAATTCTCCAACCAAGTCTAGGGCACGATCCAAAACACAGAGCGGCCAATCATCATCAGGCTGGGTGCTGCGATACAGCAACAGACCGTGAAGCTTCTTCGTGTTCAGCCGCTCACCACATTCGCCTTGCGACTGCTTCGACGCCACGAGAACTGATTTTGATGAACACCCCGCAAGATTTTCTGACCGGCGTTGCGAATCGCGAGAAAATAAAAAAACTAACAAAAAGTTATTGCGAAAGATGTGCTTTTCTGTGTTTTTTTTATATACATCGCACACCGGTGAACCGCCGATACGTTCAAATGGAAAATTAACAACTTTCCAATGTGCGACTGTGGTCATTCAAAACAGACCGTGCAACATTTCACGACACAATGCCCCCGATCCACAAATACGAAGGAGACATCGTGGCGATGACACATTCCGCTACTGCTCCTGACGCGGTTGTCTGGCTCGACCACCTGAATGCGAAATTGTAGCCGTTGCTGTGCATCGACATCAGCAGCCGTACGAAAGAAGAAGAAGAAGAACATTTAAACAGCAGTAGCGCAATGACACATCGGAGATATGAAAACGGAGTCGTCGGGACAAACAACCTAAAGCGTGACCCTCACGCGGATGAATGTCGAGACCGATTAGTGGCTTTCCTGGGTAATGAAATACATGTATGTTTGGCGTTCGGACGCGATGTCCATGTGAGCGGTGTTTATGATTAGAAACTGGAACGAGGATCACGCAGCCTGGACATTACGTTCCACGGTGCCTGGCGGCGACTAAACGACAAAGGCCCCATTGAAGGCGCCGGCGTCCTCGTGAGAAAGAGGCACCGCCCATGCTAAGGTGGATATAAAAATGCACTCAGCTGCGCGTAGCCACCCACCCACAACGTTATCATCCTCGCCCCAGCCTGCAGCTGCAGAGAGCGAGTCTCGCGGAGTAGCAGGGGAAAGGCTAAAATCAAATTACACAAGCAAATATAACCGTGGCTGTGTGCTTTTTTTTAAAGTATTGTGTTGGTGGGGAAACCTATTACTTCTGTTTGGCTTCGGTCACTGGCGTCCTCCCACAACACCGCTGCTGGGCTTTTTGCGATCAATTTCAGATCTCGCACTACTGCCTGCGGGTGTTTATTTCTCGCTATATACATACTATTGTTATTATTAGTTTTATAGAGCATCATGGATTTTTAATGCAATTCTATATTGCACAGATCAGTCGGGAACAGTACAAACACCCGAGGTTGTATTTTAGACGGTGACCAAAAAGCATCAGAAGTGTGTGAGCCTGAGCGACGAAGATAAAGAGTGAGAGAATACAATCACGAGCCTTGCAGGCCAGCGTAGAGGGCATTTCCAAGCTTGTGTGCGCGCAGTGTCTTAATTACAAGTCCCTTCGTTATTCCTGGGCAATTCGTAGCGTTTGAAAGTGCATCGCACGCAAGAGTAATTAGTGACTGGGTGAGCGAGTAGATATAGTTAGTGAATTAATGAGTCAGTGAGTTGGGTTGTGAGATTGCGAGTGAGTGAGTTAGTGAGCCAGTCAATTACTTTGTGAGTTGCATGTATTTTGAACTTCTTTCGCACCGTACGTGGCCAACCGTGCTAATTGGAGGTGAGTCAGTGAGTGAGCGAGTCCATGAGGACAGCTGCTTTTTGTGCCTGTAAGCCCCTCATAAATTAATATCCCACCCATGGGGACCTTCTCACTTCTGTGCTGCTTCAACTGCGAGGACAGGAATGACCTACGCAAGAAAGAGCCGCTCATCAGGTAACAAATTCAACAACCTCTTGCAATATTCCATCGGTTTGCGATGTAAACACATGTTTTATTTTTTAAACCTATTCTGTCCTATGTAACCGTGGGTGACTACGAATTACAGCTTTCTAAATATAGGCGACGTGCAAAAAACCAGCGGGGTTGATGCTGATACTGACTCCATGCAAACCTGACTTTGAACGTCAGCGATGACAGTTCGCACCAACCCACGCTGCCTGCCTCTGCTGGACCCGTCAGGGAGTGAGGAGAAGGGATCAGTGGGTGGGTGGCTAGTGGCTGGCTGGGTACGGGGCGCTGGGCTTCTGGTGGTAGGTGAGAACCCTCAAAGTGGAGACTTTGAAAAATGTATCTACACAGATCACGACTGCTAAAATTTACTTTTTGTATGAAGGTAGGAAATTACCCACAATGCTGTGTCATCTTGAACCAAGACAATGACACTCAAGCCAAACATTAGAAATACCCACACAACTTTTTTTGACAGTATACGGTGTCGTATATATAGCATAGCTTGATTAAGAGCCACTGGCCGCTAGACCACCGTGCAAGCAGACAACAGTTCGATTCCGGTCACTGCTTGACAAATATACAGGGTGTTTTAAAAAGATGGACCCGATTTGAAATCGCTATATCTCTGCAACCACGAACCGCCCATGAATGAAACTCTTACCACTTGGAAGGGCGGGGCGTAGAGTTTCAAATAATTACTACTAGATGCCTCTCCCAGCGCACAAACAGCCCCTAGCCTCGGTCATTGGCAAGACGGTGACCCCCGCAACACAGCGCATTTTGCGTTCTGCAGTTCAGTAAGACTGAATCCGTAATTGCGGTGCAGCGTGCGTTTCAACGACGTTTTGGCATTGATCCGCCAATGTCAAAGAGCATGGTAGCACAAAAGACCGTGATTTTGTGCCACCATTAGCGACTAATCTGGATGACCTCAAAAACAGAATCACGGCAGCGTTGGCTGCAGTGGAAGAAGACACTTTGAGAGGCGTTTGGGACGAATTCAACTATCGTCTCGATTCTAGATTTGAAGCTTTCGTGACTGCAAGGACCCATACTCTTTGGTTCTAATCGGTAAAGTCACGTAGGTAAAAAAAAATAAAACAACAAAAATCACGACGTTTCGGCCACAACACAAGTGGCCTTCATCAGGTGAAGGGACCATGCTGTCACGAAGACAGCGTTGGAATCAAGAAAGTCAAGCCAGGTCGCGTCCTTTAAGCTGTGTGGGAGGAGGGAACCAAACGCTTTGACAAAGGAATTAGCATAAAGTGCTGATCGAACACTTAACACGGGGGGGGGGGGAGGGGAATTTGACAATGCAAGCGTTGTGTTGAAGGGAAATAAGCTGCTGTGAAAGTTTGGAATATCACTACTGGATAAATATACTGTACCATTGAAATTAGTTTGATGTTTGGTATGATTTAGAACATATTTCCAATGATTGCTTAATTTGAAACCATCTTCTAGGTTGAAATTGTGTCTGTGTTTTTAAATCTGAATTGCCTCGTGGACAAATCTTTGATGACAACCTGTGGGTTTGCAAAGGACCTGGGTATCGGAGAACACTATATCGTGATCACCCACAGCGTTGTAACAGTGATCAGCTACGGCAGAAGAATTCGTTCTGCCGTGTTTCAAATCTGATTTGTGCTCGCGAATTCGGTCAAATACATGTCGCTTCGTCTCCCCGATATAGCAATCACCGCAGGTACAACTCAATTTGTAAACCCCGGGGTACTGTAAGTCAGGAATGACATCATTCACGGATGGGATCAGATCACGAATTTTGTGTACTGTATTGAACCGGACTTGTGTTTGTTTAGAATTTTTGAAATCTTTTTAGTAACGCCTGCTATATATGGTAGTGTGATGGTTTTGACCGGAGTATTAAGTGGTTGTTTCTGTATGGTAGGAGAAACCTTGGCGGATGGTACGGTCAGAGTATCCGTTTCTCTTGAGGGCCAGGTGTACATGTTTTAATTCACTGGTCAGGTGGTGCTGGACCGAAATGCAATGAGCCCTATGGTATAACGTTTTGATGAGAGAATTATTTTGAGCTGGGTGGTGGTGGGAATCAGGTTTCAAGTAGGAATCTGTGTGAGTGGGTTTCCTGTAGACAGAATGCCCCAATGAGCCATCAGGTCTCCTCTCAAACAGAACATCTAAGAATGGTAGCTTGCCATCTTTCTCCACTTCCATGGTGAATTTGATGGCGGGATGTCTGGAATTGATGTGGTGTAGGAAAAGGTTCAGAGCTGGCAGGCCATGTGGCCAAATGACGAAAGTGTCATCCACATATCTCTTCCACAGGGAAGGTCTGAGGGTGGAAGTCTGGGTGGCGTCCGATTCAAATTTCTCCATGAAAACATTGGCTATCACTGGTGACAAGGGGAACCCATGAGAGTACCCTCATTTTGCTTGTAGAAGGAACCATTCCAAGTAAAGTAGGTGTTGGTGAGGCAGTGCCTGACCCCGAGGTACCTACGCTGGTCAGACACTGCCTCACCAACACCTACTTTACTTGGAATGGTTCCTTCTACAAGCAAAATGAGGGTACTCCCATGGGTTCCCCCTTGTCACCAGTGATAGCCAATGTTTTCATGGAGAAATTTGAATCGGACGCCATCCAGACTTCCACCCTCAGACCTTCCCTGTGGAAGAGATATGTGGATGACACTTTCGTCATTTGTCCACATGGCCTCCCAGCTCTGAACCTTTTCCTACACCACATCAATTCCAGACATCCTTCCATCAAATTCACCATGGAAGTGGAGAAAGATGGCAAGCTACCATTCTTAGATGGTCTCTTTGAGAGGAGACCTGATGGCTCATTGAGGCATTCTGTCTACAGGAAACCCATCCACACAGATTCCTACTTGAAACCTGATTCCCACCACCACCCAGCTCAAAATAATTCTCTGATAAAAACTTTATACCATAGGGCTCATTGCATTTCGGATCAACACCACCTGACCAGTGAATTAAAACATGTACACCTGGCCCTGAAGAGAAACGGATACTCTGACCGTACCATCCGCCAAGCTGTTTCTCCTACCATACAGAAACAACCACTTGACACTCCGGTCAAAACCATCACACTACCATATATAGCAGGCGTTACTAAAAAGATTTCCAAAATTCTAAACAAACACAAGATCCAAGTTCGGTTCAATACAGTACACAAAATTTGTGATCTGATCCCATCCGTGAAGGATGTCATTCCTGACTTACAGTACCCCGGGGTTTACAAATTGAGTTGTACCTGCGGTGATTGCTATATCGGGGAGACGAAGCGACATGTCTCTGACCGAATTCGCGAGCACAAATCAGATTTGAAACACAGCAGAACGAATTCTTCTGCCGTAGCTGACCACTGTTACAACGCTGTGGGTGATCACGATATAGTTTTCTCCGATACCAAGGTTCTCTGCAAACCCACGGGTTTTTATCAAAGATATGTCCACGAGGCAATTCAGATTTACAAACACAGACACAATTTCAACCGAGAAGATGGTTTCAAATTAAGCAATCATTGAAAGATGTTCTAAATCATACCAATCATTCAACTAATTTTCAATGGTACAGTATATTTATCCAAGAAGTGATATACTAAACTTTCACAGCAGCTTATTTCCCTTCAACACAACCTTTGCCTTGTCAAATTCCCCTCCCTCTTCCCCCCCGTGTTAAGTGTTCGATAAGCACTTTATGCTAATTCCTTTGTCAAAGCGTTTGGTTCCCTCCTCCCACACAGCTTAAAGGACGCGACCTGGCTTGACTTTCTTGATTCCAACGCTGTCTTCGTGACAGCATGGTCCCTTCACCTGATGAAGGCCACTTGTGTTGTGGCCGAAACGTCGTGATTTTTGTTGTTTTATTTTTTTTTACCTACGTGACTTTACCAAATAGAACCAAAGAGTATCGTCTCGATGTTGCCCGTACAGCAGGTGGAGAGCACAGAGCATTTATAAAATGGTTAGTAAAACTTGATAACGCATTAAACCGTTTGTAACTTTTTGTGTAATTGTAACATGTTGCCATCGTGAAATATACTGCTTTGAAATTGGGTCCATATTTTTTGAAACACCCTGTATAAATACATTTTCTTATAAGTGCGCCACCCGCTGTCACGTGGACGTGGAGACCGCGTAAAACGACTGCGTCAGAGAGGACGTCCCAGATATATTCGAACAATCACCCAGCGATGTGCCCAATCTCATTCGATGTTCAGAGCCAAGCAGACTTGGAGCCTTGACAATGGGATTGGAATGGGGTTATCACTATGCACAGCAGTAGATTCGTTTTAGCACGAGAGCGGCTATACCTGTCGTGCTCTCCCCCCCCTCCCCCACACCTTCACCAACCCCCCACTGACTGGTGTGGTGAAATATGGTCAAATATCCCCCATGACCAGCACAGCGAGAGGAGGCCCTCATCCAGCAGTGGATTGACACACAGCAGTGGGACTGGCCATACCAAGCATGCGTAGAGCGGGACATATTTGAAAACCCTTATACCATTAACGTATTGTGGTCGCGAGTCTTCCTTGCAAAAGAGGTGGCAATCCAATGCGTTAACAGGCTCCGAGTCGCAATAGGCTGTTGTCTGTGCATATTAACGTGTGGACATGTGAGTCTACATTTGTGCCGATACTGTGTTGGGGACTGTGCAGAAATGTATAGTATAATGGAGAATATGACCCCATCACCACCCATACCACTGCTGCTACAGTGAGGGAAAAAAGTATTTGATCCCCTGCTGATTTTGTACGTTTGCCCACTGACAAAGAAATTATCAGTCTATAATTTGAATGGTAGGTTTATTGAAACAGTGAGAGACAGAATAACAACAACAAAATCCAGAAAAACGCATGTCACAAATGTTATAAATTGATTTGCATTTTAATGGGGGAAATACGTGTTTGACCCCCTCTCATTCAAAAAGATTTCTGGCTCCCAGGTGTCTTTTATACAGGTAACGAGCTGAGATTAGGAGCACACTCTTAAAGGGAGTGCTCCTAATCTCAGCTTGTTACCTGTATAAAAGACACCTGTCCACAGAAGCAATCAATCAATCAGATTCCAAACTCTCCACCATGGCCAAGACCAAAGAGCTGTCCAAGGATGTCAGGGACAAGATTGTAGACCTATACAAGGCTGGAATGGGCTACAAGACCATTGCCAAGCAGCTTGGTGAGAAGGTGACAACAGTTGGTGCGATTATTCGCAAATGGAAGAAACACAAAAGAGAACTGTCAATCTCCCTCGGCCTGGGACTCCATGCAAGATCTCACCTCGTGGAGTTGCAATGATCATGAGAACGGTGAGGAATCAGCCCAGAACTACACGGGAGGATCTTGTCAATGATCTCAAGGCAGCTGGGACCATAGTCACCAAGAAAACAATTAGTAACACACTACGCCGTGAAGGACTGAAATCCTGCAGCGCCCGCAAGGTCCCCCTGCTCAAGAAAGCACATATACATGCCCGTCTGAAGTTTGCCAATGAACATCTGAATGATTCAGAGGACAACTGGGTGAAAGTGTTGTGGTCAGATGAGACCAAAATGGAGCTCTCTGGCATCAGCTCAACTCTCCGTGTTTGGAGGAGGAGGAATGCTGCCAATGACCCCAAGAACACCATCCCCACCGTCAAACATGGAGGTGTAAACATTATGCTTTGGGGGTGTTTTTCTGCTAAGGGGACAGGACAACTTCACCGCATCAAAGGGACGATGGACGGGGCCATGTACCGTCAAATCTTGGGTGAGAACCTCCTTCCCTCAGCCAGGGCATTGAAAATGGGTCGTGGATGGGTATTCCAACATGACAATGACCCAAAACACACGGCCAAAGCAACAAAGGAGTGGCTCAAGAAGAAGCACATTAAGGTCCTGGAGTGGCCTAGCCAGTCTCCAGACCTTAATCCCATAGAAATCTGTGGAGGGAGCTGAAGGTTCGAGTTGCCAAACGTCAGCCTCGAAACCTTAATGACTTGGAGAAGATCTGCAAAGAGGAGTGGGACAAAATCCCTCCTGAGATGTGTGTAAACCTGGTGGCCAACTACAAGAAACGTCTGACCTCTGTGATTGCCAACAAGGGTTTTGCCACCAAGTACTAAGTCATGTTTTGTAGAGGGGTCAAATACTTATTTCCCTCATTAAAATGCAAATCAATTTATAACATTTTTGACATGCGTTTTTCTGAATTGTGTTGTTGTTATTCTGTCTCTCACTGTTCAAATAAACCTACCATTAAAATTATAGACTGATCATTTCTTTGTCAGTGGGCAAACGTACAAAATCAAAAGGGGATCATATACTTTTTTTCCCCTCACTGTACAATTGCTGCCATCACACACCACCACGCACACCACTGTCATCACCACCACCACCACCATAATGACCACCCCCATAAATACATTACGACAATCATACAACCATGACCACCGCAAAAATAACCACCACCACAATTACCCCAACCAAATCACCACAAGCATATGGCCACGACTATCAATACAATCAACACACCGTTACCACCACCACGACCACACACTACGACCACAACCACCACCATGACCATCGACAACCACACAATCACCCAATCGAACTACCACAACCACAACCACATACACAACCGTCAACGACCGACCACGGGCTCACCACAACCACCAACCAACACCGCCACCGACGCAGGGAGGTGTTGCCACTCTACTATGGCATGGAGTCGCAGCGACAGCGCGAGGACCTGGCAAACCTCTGGCACGAGCCCCACGACCGGTCCCACACGGCCACTGACGAGGACCGAGAGCTTTTCAACAAACTCCAGCGCCTGGAGCACACTCGTCGGGGCTCCGAGGTAGGTGGCAAGCTGTAAGTGACGTTCCCACCAGGGTTCAGTGTTTCACCGAATCCTTGCTGGTGATCTGCCGAGAGAAGTATTCGAAGAAAATAGGTTCAGGAGGAATGAATAAATAAGCAAAGTAACATGGCTCGCCAATGATGCTGTTAAAGCGAAATAAATCGAGTGGAAATGTGGCAGGACACGTCATGAGAACAACTGACGAGAGATGAGAGACAAAATTAACATGGGAGTGGCGAGCGAAAGAAAGGAGGATCAGAAAGAGAGGCAACGCAAGAGATGGCGGTCAGACGAATTAAAGAGTTTGGAGGTCAATACGGTACTGATTGCAATGAAATACGACATGGTGGCATGGCCATTCCCACTGCTGTGTGCTAATTATTGATCACGATGCACCATTTGAAGGTGATTTAGGAAACTGCCAGATCCGTTCTGGAGATAATATCTATCACTGGCGTTACATTATCAGGAATCGAACCCCGGCTGGCTAGGACCCTGGTGCAGTGAAATAATTATTCCATGACTTACCTGTTCGGCTGCAGGGGCGTCACGAACCCATTACATACAGCATTCGCGAATCTAACATCAATTCTTTGCACACGCAACTCAATGCTTGTATCGTACACTTAGAGCTCGGTGTGATTAAATGCGTCATTCTACACCTGTACACAATACAAATTGGAATTATTGGGGACTGCAACTGACCGGGGTCCCTCCCCTCTCCGTTATTCCCACGTTGGCAGGGCTGGCGGAAGCTGAGTGTGGACATCGGCATGCTGCGCCAGGTGCGGCGTGACGTCAAAGACCGTTGGAGGATGATACTCTCCTATCTTGGTGGGTGCGGTGTCCTTAAGTTCGGTGTCTCTCATTTAGGGGCCCAAAAACATCGAACTGTAGAGGGTCCAATACTCTCAAATTATTATTATTTTTACTCTTGTTTACCCAGAAAAGTGTCATTAGGTCTATTTTTGCAGTAAGTTTTTACAGTAAGGGGCGATGTTGCTATGTGTAATCCTAATTGATAACATTTTTTGCCAGCACTGGGATATTTGACTAATACCAGTTGCATTGTTTAGCTATGGCAGCATAGACGAAAGCCATGCAGAACAGGGGGAGAATATACAAACGCCACACAGAAAGCTACCAGATTCGGGAATTGAAAAACACAGGCCTCTTGCCGTGGTAACAAACAGAGCTGTTGTTTTAAATTAGGTCACGATATGTTACAATTTTATAGTCTTTGTTTTCAAAAGGGGATCTAGGTTGCAACACGAAACGAGATTAAAGACAAATGCACCATCCATCATCAATAGGGATGGATTATGGATGGTGGCAGCCGCATGTGTTTCTCCCTGTGAAGCGTGCTTTGCCAATTGTGGTCAACGATTACTTGGTGTGGAAACTAATGCCACCCGGGAGACCGAACTTTGCTTTTCGACCTCCTGGTTAGGAGGTCGAAGAGCTCCTAACCACCCTTTGAAGAACTGCACAACGTGAATATCTGCGAGTAAAAACTTGCACGCTTAAAAAAAGAGATTTGCGTAAGAAAATCTTAACATATGAAAATAATTTAACATATTCGATAAAAACAGTTATTAAAAGCATTTGCACTCAGATTTGTCAAACAATGCATCCCGTTTATCATGGATCGCCAATTTAGAGGAAACAGACATTTCTTGCAAGAGGGATGCCAGACATTTACAATAAAAATATATATATATAAATGTTTAGACGTTTTGCGGTTTTGAAATAATTTCAATATGCTTTACCATAAAATAGGCTGCACAGTTCACTGTTATTCTAAAGCCAGTGCCAAAGATGGTTTGCCTAGGGAATTAACCCCACCCATCCTGCCCAATTTACCCATGGTGGGGTAAAGTGTGAGTACTCACACCTCACCTGGCCAATGTGAAAAGTAGGTCAAAACACCCTCTATTAGGGACTCTCTACGAGCGGAGAGGCCTTTCCACCAGCAATGGCGGGAGAAAGCAATTGCAGAGCTGCAGCTTTAACCCCGGTCCGTGCAACCCACCCCACTCCCACCAACCCCCACGAACAAGGAGATGATCAGCTGCTTTTATCGTCTTAGTCTCCAGGCACCCAGGAACACAACGAGGTTGAAAACCCCACTCGAGATAAAATATAAAATAATAAATCCCTTCATACTGTTTATGGGGGCCTTAAATTGATCGATAACAGAGTGCCAGCATCATAGGGTGTTGTAACAACATCTCTCAGCATTAACACCGTCATCATCCAGCCGTGCAGCATCAGTTTATAAACAAAAAAAATGCTGGCAAATATTCATATGCAGACGGGGTGAAAGTAGGTTATGTTTAGATGTGCCGTTATTGCCTCTACTGGCAGAGGGGTGCCAATAAAGCCGTGCATTAATGATAAAGCTTTGGCATCAGTCGACTGCTACTGCCATCGTGTGTATTCAGTAACAAGTTGACAGGTCAATGGTGAAATGAGGTTTAAAAATGAGACGTGAGAAAAGGTCGAGCCACCCTAAGTGTACGCCCATCTGAATCCCCTATAATCTCTAGATATATAAGGGAAATTTGTGATTATGTGTGTCTGTTCAAAATGTTTAGCGTACATCCCGACATGCAACAAACTTGAAATTTGCCATGTGGGTACTTTCCAGACTGTACACCATGCAAAAAATATAGAAATTCACTTTTGTATATATTTTTGGTGGGGGGGGGGGGGTGATCGATTTGACCATGCTTCACCATGCTGCAGCATCGTCACCCCGGTGTAAACAAAGGACACCACGGTTCATCCTCCAACAGGATTCGAGAAGGAGGCAGACACCCTCCTGTCCGTCACAGGCTCCAGCTCACTCAACAACATGAAGAATGTCACCAGAGCCAAGGAGATTCTGCAGCTTCTGGCCGAGGACACCAGCATCTTCAAGGATATCTCGGGCCCTCCTGAGAGATATATATTCGTTCTGGTGACTTGAGCGACAAACACATACACACCCCGTGCACGGAGAGTCAGAGTATGTCCCTGTTAAAACAAGCAATCGATTTCGAGTTCATCTCGTTTTGTGGTTCTGAGCCAAGTGGTGGTAATTTCACATTCCTATGGTAAGGGATAGTCTATGAGTAAAATGACCATTCAATTTCCCACAAAGTGGGGCCTCAAATTCCTCCTTTCTGGTTCATTGCACCGCCGAGACCCTATCGCTGTACAAGCCTAGCCTTCGAGATTTTGTGATCTCCACTACCTTTGAATAACTTTGAGTCATCAGGAATGTTTGCTTCCATCTTAACCACACTACTGTCTCATTTGCCTCTCTACCCTTGCAGCTTTCTACACTCCCACTCCCTCCCAACCAAAATACGTGACTTTACCGAAAAAAACAAAGAGTAATTCCTGCAGTCACGAAAGCTTCGAATCAAGTCTCAACATGCAATGTTGTTCAACATACATACATTGCAGTGTACTATGCCCCCACGTAAATGCTCCTCTGCCTTCACCAACCTGCACTGATCAGCATGGGGAATGATGATCAAATAACCCCCTATGAACCACACAGCATGGGGAGGCCCTCATCCAGCAGCGGATTGACAATTGGGCAGTACTCGTACCTAAATCCAAATGCTATCTGCAGTGGTACTCATTTTAACGGGCAATAACTGGATTTCCGGCAGACAAATGCGGGTTGTATCATTATATTTAGTGACAGATCATACCTCCCTATAATCAGGACTACATTCTAGCCGGGTCCTTCCGGGTGGGCAACCTGGAAAATTCAGCGCTCTCTTCTCACACCCGGCACAACGCAATCAGCGTGCCTACCGCTTTGGCCGTGGTGGCTACCAGTCACGTGCCTACTCCAAGCCTTACCAGCGACCTGGACAATTATCAGTGACAAATATGGCGCCTTGCATAGAGAAGTCAATGAACCACAGTAACCGATGTGCTGCTAACACGGTACAAAAAAACAAATGTCTACACGCCGCGGTGTGGAACCAGGAGAGTGCAGCAAGAGAGGATGTTGAGGGTTAAACCTCTGTCCTCATTCCCTCACCCGTGCATTTTTTTTTTAGATTTACACCTCTGCACAATCTCCTAACGGCACAGACGGAATTGAGATATACGACTGGAACTGTTTGTTTGGAAAGTAAAGCTTTTGCGACGAGAGACTGTGAAATGGTGTCACCAAGGGTTATTGGTGCCCTGTGATCACCTTTGCTGTGTCGTCTTGAAATGTAAAATAATGATAATGGTGCAGCAACATAGTGCAATCGGAACCTGGCAACATGAGTTTGATTCCTAGCCACAGCTAACCTGATGAGTGGTGATTGATATCTGAAACGGCTATGACACCTCCCCCACTCTTCAAAAAACCCGCACAGCCAAGCGTGGCGGTAATGATTGTAACAATGTGATAATTTACAGCTCGTTGTTCATCCACTGTTGCATCGTGTAGCAGCTGCTATATTGCGAGAGCGGGAGATATGGAAAATAATATTGGAGACAAATGTTCAATGTATTTAAATGTTAAATTAAGAATACAGTGCTTGGTATTCAGATTTCTTTACATGAAACGAATTATAGAACGCTCCTAAGACACGTGCATTTGTGTTGCTTGTTTGGATATGCAGGACCGCCTGATTACTCTTGACATTGGAGAAGCATTTCTGGCGAGGGCAAAGCACCTGTACCCAAAAGACGACGACGATGAGGACGAGGATGATGACGACCAAGATGATGACGAAGAGAAGGAGCGAGAGGAGATTGGGAAAAAGGAGCAGGAATCTGGAGGCATGAACCCCCCATTCGCCAGGTCTCGTCGACCCAGCCTCATCTTCATCAGCCGCACCGCCCCGGACGTTGCCATCGACGAGCTGGGTACTCAGAGCAGCAGCGAGGAGCCTCCCGCAGGAACCAACAGCGGTGCCGAGTGATCACAGATATACATAGAGAGAGAATAACGCGTGTGCAGGTGTGCAGAGTGAGCTACGGAGAGTCAACCTGCATGCCGGTGAACATTGAGTTATGTATATATCACCTGCATGCAAGTGTCGAGTGTACCGTTTGGAAGCCACCTTCATACAGGTGTATGAATAAAAATATTAAATTCATCTGCATGCAGGTGCCCCGATTGAACAATTATACAATCTGCCTGCGTGCAGGCGTCAAATGAAGAATATGGAATAATCTGCTTGCCAATGTTCCCAGTAAACAATTTGAAATCTACCTGGATGCAGATATCAAGTGATGGATATGCGGCCATGCACTTCACCTGCATGCAGGTGCTCTGAGTGAATGTTTGCAAATTCACCTGTCTACAGGTGTGCGGAATGAATGCAGATTTGGGGGAACGCGTAGAGCACAAACAAAATCAATGTCAATCTTCTCAACTGTGTTAAATGCAGCATTTATCAAATAGCGAGGGGTCCGTTTAAAATTAACTTTCCCCTGCCATGCAGGGGTCACACGTGCGCAACATTAAATGTCTGTCAACATGTTACTGCATGCGTGCAACCTGAGCAATTACGTCTGGCAAATTTTGATGCGTTCCCGCTTTAGCCACTAATTAATAATTTTGTTATTTCTATATTCTTGGTTCTTTTGGGAAAGTCACGTAGAAGGGAAACAATAAAATAATAAAAATATAAAACAAAATTTCTTGCTGTGCTTTTCACACCTGATGATGATTGCTTGTGTTGCAGTCGAAACGTCGTGAGAATGTTATTGTTTTATATTTTTATTATTGAATTGTTTCCCTTCTACGTGGTGACTTTACCGAAAGAACCAAGAATATGAATCCCTGCAGTCACGAAAGCTTTGAATCAAAATTTGTTATTTCTGTTAACAGAGATTATTTTTTATTCCCAGTCTCCATATTAAATGAGGTTTTTTTTTTGTAATTACCTAAAACCCCGATGTTGACACGCGATTTTTTTTTTTGGCGTGTCACACAATTCCACGTTTTTTTTATTATCTTTGCAGAAATGTAATTGCGCGAAGCGAGCGTCGTGTGGCTGTGCACTCGGCTAGCAGCGGGTTCACGATTACTAATTATCACTCGGCTTTCGCGTCGGGTCTTGGAGCGCAAGCTTCTGCTTAATTGCCTCAAAAGAGACGTTCCAAGCTGGAAATGCGCTGCGGGTCATTCCCAATCGCACGGCATCCGGCACGGCTGTTACTCGTCGCATCTCGAGCTGTCACACATGCTTTACTGCGACAAAGCGGCATGCATACCACAGACTCAAACCAATGATAATATCATCAATGATTGCTTTTTTTTTTACTCTTAGTATTACAAAGAGGGATATAACTTGGATTTACGTGGCATCTAAATTCCACCGCATCTCTAGCCGCTGTACAGATAATTTGCTTTATTCTGCAACCTAGAATGTCTAATGAAATATAGGACCGTAATATTAGAATTTGCTGGTGGCTCATTTAAAATGTCTAAGGCATTGAGTGTTGCATCGTGTAGCAGCTGCTATATTGCGAGAGCGGGGGATATAGAAAATAATCTTGGAGACAGATGTTCAATGTATTTAAATGTTAAATTAAGAATGCAGTGCTTGGTATTCAGATTTCTTCTGGGTTTTTTTTGTCCTTCATGCTTTTTTGTCCTTGATGCTTTAGATGGTGGCGTTTAGGGTTTGCGCGTGACGTGCAGTATTTAATACTTTATTTTGCTTAGAATCACGCATCTGTTATTTCCAACAATGATCACAGTGATGACCACGGACCAGTGGTCGTTTGTTAGATTTTCAGCAACGATATATTATTTATCTTTACGCAGAAAAAAATGTCACAACCGACACAAGGATGAAGATACAATAAGCGATGTGCCCTTCAAGAACCACGCGTATTGTTGCAAATTAAAGTATCTCTGAAATAAAATGTGTCTCAACGTGAAACAGGAAGGTTTGCCTTTGCGGTTCTAAATATCACAACATTTGGTCGCATATATTACTGCTCTAGCACTCCGGTAGATTGATGCCTACAAAAAAACAAATGATATATTTACGTCCTGCTTTTGGCTATGTCCATAGCATATTTCTCGGCGACGTACAGTGAGGGAAACAAATATTTGATCCCCTGCTGATTTTGTACGTTTGCTCACTGACGAAGAAATGATCAGTGTATAATTTTAATGGTAGGTTTAATTGATCAGTGAGAGACAGAATAACAACAAAAAAATCCAGAAAAACGCATGTCAAAAATGTTATAAATTGATTTGCATTTTAATGAGGGAAATAAGTATTTGACCCCCTCTCAATCAGAAATGTTTCTGGCTCCCAGGTGTGTTTTATACAGGTAACGAGCTGAGATTAGGAGCACACTCTTAAAGGGAGTGCTCCTAATCTCAGCTTGTTGCCTGTATAAAAGACACCTGTCCACAAAAGCAATCAATCAATCAGATTCCAAACTCTCCACCATGGCCAAGACCAAAGAGCTCTCCAAGGATGTCAGGGACAAGATTGTAGACCAACACAAGGCTGGAATGGGCTACAAGACCATTGCCAAGCAGCTTGATGAGAAGGTGACAACAGTTGGTGCTATCATTCGCAAATGGAAGAAACACAAAAGAACTGTCAATCTCCCTCGGCCTGGGGCTCCATGCAAGATCTCACCTCGTGGAGTTGCAATGATCATGAGAACGGTGAGGAATCAGCCCAGAACTACACGGGAGGATCTTGTCAATGTTCTCAAGGCAGCTGGGACCATAGTCACCAAGAAAACAATTGGTAACACACTACGCCGTGACGGACTGAAATCCTGCAGCACCCGCAAGGTCCCCCTGCTCAAGAAAGCACATATATATGCCCGTCTGAAGTTTGCCAATGAACATCTGAATGATTCAGAGGACAACTGTGTGAAAGTGTTGTGGTCAGATGAGACCAAAATGGAGCTCTTTGGCATCAACTCAACTCGCCGTTTTTGGAGGAGGAGGAATGCTGCCTATGACCCCAAGAACACCATCCCCACCGTCAAACATGGAGGTGGAAACATTATGCTTTGGGGTTTTTTTTCTGCTAAGGGGACAGGACAACTTCACCGCATCAAAGGAACGATGGACGGGGCCATGTACCATCAAATCTTGGGTGAGAACCTCCTTCCCTCAGCCAGGGCATTGGAAATGGGTCGTGGATGGGTATTCCAGCATGGCAATGACCCAAAACACACGGCCAAGGCAACAAAGGAGTCGCTCAAGAAGAAGTACATTAAGGTCCTGGAGTGGCCTAGCCAGTCTCCAGACCTTAATCCCATAGAAAATCTGTGGAGGGAGCTGAAGGTTCGAGTTGTCAAACGTCAGCCTCGAAACCTTAATGACTTGGAGAAGATCTGCAAAGAGGAGTGGGACAAAATCCCTCCTGAGACGTGTGCAAACCTGGTGGCCAACTACAAGAAACGTCTGACCTCTGTGATTGCCAACAAGGGTTTTGCCACCAAGTACTAAGCCATGTTTTGCAGAGGGGTCAAATACTTATTTCCCTCATTAAAATGCAAATAAATTCATAACATTGCTGACATGCGTTTTTCTGGATTTTGTTGTTGTTATTCTGTCTCTCACTGTTCAAATAAACCTACCATTACAATTATAGACTGATAATTTATTTGTCAGTGGGCAAACGTACAAAATCAGCCGGGGATCAAATACTTTTTTCCCTCACTGTAGTGGCTTTTGCTGCGTGGGTTACTTGTGACTGAAGACACGTGCTGCAACAGAGAGATTTGAATGCGGATTTGGTTGATCTGGATGACTCAGAAACAGCCTTACCTGCACACTGAAGGTTGTTTGTATTCGGGTATTACTAGTCTGGTAAACATGATAAGGTTAACAAGGACACAATGTTCAATTTAAACGGATTATAATCTGAATCAGAGGATGATTATTCAGGAATTAATTAATTATTTGGAAGGGCAAGAGGGATGGGGGGGAGGACTTATGGATAAAATGAATGTGAATGTTGGGAAGATATATGGGGTACCTGGGAGTTTCTGCAAGTTCTATATAGGAGAGAATAACTGGGGCGTGTGGAGAGGTGGTTGATGGTGAGTTGACAGAACTGGGGAGAAAGACTTGAACACATCCGGGTAGCGGGCTGCGACGGGAATCATGGAAATAATTTTCTGACGTCACAGATGCTGTACAACGTTGTCATTTTAAATCAAATGTATGAAAATATCTCCCATTGTTGCGGGCATTGCTTAGTGGGGTCTGCGAAGGCACGAGACGCTCGAGACACGAGACGACACAGATAATCCTTATTTAAGTTACAATACATTTAACACATGCATCAGTAGCACGTGGCCTTCAAATAAAAGTATATATGAGCGATGACGTTTCTGACAATGGCCCTTCTTCAGAGCACATTGAGGCCAGATATAGAGTAACGGGTAACTGCACTTCATACCATAGGGCCTGATGAGGATTCAACATTTTTAATGTATTACGATGACGTTTTTAAATAGGCACGTGAAAGCCATATAACCATAATAGGTTTTGAGTACGAGACAATATCCTGAAAAAAACTCTAAATAGTATTATTCAGCACCGGGAATTATCAGTTTCATTCGGGGTTACAATTCTTGGAAAACACTACTTAAACTGAAACGACGTTAACTGATCCACTATTTCTCGTAAAAATGTACTAAAAAAAACAGGAGGTACGTTCCACAGGACTCCAATATTCGATATGTAAAGTGTTAATAAATCACAATTTATATTGAAAATATTGTATTTTCTACTGTACAGCATTAAAATAAAATAAAAATTACACAAATAAAATAAAAGTGTACTGTAAAATATACTCACACTTACCAATGCAGTCTTCGCTGCAGTCATAAGGTTGCATTGCCCACCAAACACCGCGCGCTGATTGGTCGAAACGACTGTCAACACTGTCACCATCGCGATGCGCGACACTCGACATAATTGTTTTTCTTTATATAGCACTCGAGATGGACAATGTTATTATTTATTGATTTTAGTGTATCTATATAAAGACCTTAATCTGTTTGTCTCAAATAACCTCGAGGGTACTTTCCGACAAGATAAAAAGCTGAAATTTGGTACAAAGGTAGCTTTTAGGACACACACAAAAACAGGAACAAAAATCAGACTTTTTCGGATTTTAAAGCGCCCAAATCTCGATTTTTTTAAGTGCCCCGTAAACATATTTGTGCGTGTCATTCAGAAATCGTTCAAAATATAAGATTGCGGTTACTTTCAAATAAAATTAAAGCGAGATTCATTGGTTCTATCTTTTATTGTTTTTCAGATATTTCGGATTCAAGCGAGTTTGAACCAAAAAATACGCACTTTATGATGTTCAAATCTGAATAATTCGAAAACGATCAAAGACAGACGTTTCCCCTCATAGAGAATACAGTTAATAACTTTTGTTCTGTCTAATAAAAAAAAGAGAACAGAATCTTAAAAATGTGAAATTGAATCAAGTCGTCAACAATTTTTGTGTTTTTGTTGCAGAAAAATACACTTTTGGAGTAAAATTTTGATTTAAAGCTTTCGTGACTGCAGGGATTCATATTCTTGGTTCTTTCGGTAAAGTCACGTAGAAGTGAAACAATATCCCTTCTACGTGACTTTACCGAAAGAACCAAGAATATTTTTGGAGTGGTTGTTCGTGTCTGATCGTAAACTTTTTTTTTTAACCATATCAGGTTAATTATT